CCTATCGGGCACCTGCAAATGTTTACCAAGCTGACCTGAGGCACCCGGCAAAGCTGCCTTTCCCTCCCTTACGGTCCCCTGTGCACAGACAACACTTCGTCACTACTTGGACACTGTGCTGATGACCCGTGGCAGCCTCATGCCGGTAGGTGAGGCCCTTTCCTCTTCATTTATGTGCACCCCCTATCTATCCCTGTCTCCCACAGTGCCTGGCAGGCAAGGAAATGTGTCTTGAATGATTTTTGACAGTCCTCTCTTTCCTTTTGTCCAGGGAGCCATCAGTTCTTCAGCAACAGCTCCCACAACCACCCCTCCTCCTCCAGCTCAGGTCCTCATGGCTCAGGGGCACACAAGATCCTCCACCTCCCCATGAAAGCACCCACCCAGCAGGGTGTAGGGTACACTGTAAGCCCTCAGTAAACACAACCTACATCCCTCTACTACATCTCTGCCTTTGTCCTCCGCCAGGCCTGCACCTCAGAATACCGACCCCAACCGGCCAGCTTTGACTGTAAACCTTCTTCCTCTGGTTCAACCTGCAGGTTGGCCACACACTGCCTCTGTTCACAAACCGGCCAGCTAACTCTGATGGCGTGCCATGCGCGGTTCCTCCATGCCACAGGCTAGGCTGGGTGACTCTCCTGGGGTCAGGAGGAGTCCTGACCCTGCTAGGCCCACACCTAACCAGAATCTACGCTAATAAAAGGTCAAATGGTGCTGAATGAAACACATTCCAAACCCCCTAAAAAATCACTTGGGCAATCACTGTAACAAACACATTATGGCCTTCTAGAAAGTATCTTCCTCATTCTTCTAATTTGGCAACAAAATGTATACGTATCATACTTTTTTCTTACCAAAGGTGCAGGAAAACAGGCATCACTAGCATGACTGAAAATGGGAAGACCTTTCTGGTGAACGAATTGACAACACATATTAAGAGCTTTAAAAACATGTCTATCTTCAACCTTCCAATTCTACTTGTATGAATTTACACACAAAGATGTATGTATAAGGATACAAACTACTGCAATTGCAAAGAATTTTGAAGAATTTAAATGTCCAAATAGGAGCAAGGAAATCATTGCAGTTCATCTATACATAAGGAGGCCATGGACCAAAAAAAAGAGAACCTCTTCACGCTAGCAAAAGCAACAACATTTTCTTTTGTGTATTTGTCTGTATTTTCCAAATTTACATAGAGAAAACATTCAACTTTTGTAAATGGAGGGAAAATTAGAAATTGTTACAGAAAAAAAGAGGAAATATTCTGTGAAGGAGGATCCTGAACTCATGTGCAACTGGCCTCACTTCACGGGTGTTACCGCTCACCCCAGCAGGTAGGCACAATCTCCATTCTTAACACATTTTCCATAACGGGAGTGGGCCAAGGCTAGTAAGCGGCACCCACAGGGTAGACGCCTCTATCCGGCCATCTTGCTCTCTTTCTCAGCCCCCGTCGCCCCTGGAGTGTGGATCGAGCCCTACTATAGAGGCAGTGCTGCTTTTCATCACAGCTGGCCACTTCGGTGCCCCCTGTTCTCTTTAAATAAATGAGGTACTTCAAATCAACTGATAAAGCAAGCAGGATGTTAGCAGGACATGTTTTATAAGCCACCCACTCAAAACTGGGACGTGGGATCTGCAGCTGACCGTGGTGCACCTACCCCCTGGCCTCTGCTCAACTGTGGCCCTAAAACCCGACTCTCACAACTAGACTGGAATAAAAACTACTGCACGAGAGAGAAAACCACAGCCAGGGGTGGTTCAGACCTGTAATCCCAGCACTTTAGGGGGCGAGCAGGGAGGATCACTTGAGCCCAGGAGTTCCAGACCAGCCTGGGCAACACAGTGAGACTCATCTCTACCAAAAAACTTAAAAATTTAGAAAAAGGGAGAGAAGGCCGGGCGCAGTGGCTCACGCCTGTAATCCCAGCACTCTGGGAGGCCGACGCAGGCGGATCACGAGGTCAGGAGACGGAGACCATCCTGGCTAACACGGTGAAACCCCGTCTCTACTAAAAAAAAAATACAAAAAATTAGCCAGGCGTGGTGGTGGGTACCTGTAGTCCCAGCTACTTAGGAGGTTGAGGCAGGAGAATAGCGTGAACCTGGGAGGTGGAGTCTGCAGTGAGTCGAGATCGCGCCACTGCACTCCAGCCTAGGCAACAGAGTGAGACTCCATCTCAAAAAAAAAAAAAAAGAAAAGAAAAAGGGAGAGGAAGAGAAACACTTCTGATGTGAAGCTACTGGCGAAGCCCTCTAAGTAAACAGTGTGAATCTCAGTGTTGATCAAACTCAGGAGCAAAGTGTGCAAAAACGACTGTGTGCACTTCAACACAAGCGACAAGGGAGGCTGTCCTCTCCGGACTGGGAATCTGACATGCACAGCGCGTGTAAGGAGGCGCAGCCAGCTGTGTACATCAGAAGGAGGTGAGGAAACAGGAAGTGGGTTCTTAGAAGGAAAGAGACTGAGAGACTGTGAAAAAGTCATCAGTGGGTGGCATGTCCTTTCCTCAAATCCAGCATTCAGTTTTGGCCACCTTCTCTCACTGGAGACACAGAACTCAACAGTGCAAAGAAGTGCAATAGCTATGACTAAAAGCAATGGGGACAGCTTCCACTCAAGGAAAGGCCAACGAGACAACAACTTCATTCAGTAAAGCAAAGGGCTCAGAAAATACACCACGGATAAGAGGCTCCTCACACAATATAAAGCCTTGAAAATACCTCAGTGACTTCCCGGCCCTGCAGACGAGCGCCCAGAGGAGCCAACAGACCCCGTGTGGCTCCTGTGAACCCCGACGCTCCAAGGAACTCCAGAACCCACACCCTCTATTACTTACACATTTCTCCTTCCAGCCACAAGGTAATAACAGACCTACTTCTACCTCCTTCCACAAGGGCCATAGGCATTCCAGAACCCAGGAGAACCGCTAGGAAGTCCCTAAGAACCTGCTCCATAGGAGGACAGCCCACAGGAGGAGGTGAGCATGCAGCTCTGCGGGGAGTGAGTGCAGCGCTACGCACTATGCCGCTGCTGCTCCAGGCCTCCATGGCACCTGCGCACGCCCACAGGAGGGCAGCCGTGGTGGGGCAAGCACACTAGTGAGCAGCGCCAGAAGAGGAAAAGGGATTGCCATCTCCACGCAGTACCGGACCTCTCGGCTTGGCCTCTCATATCCACTTTCCATACCCTGCCGCCCTGTTCTCTGCTGGGGGAGCTGTATGTAACACATCAGTGGGCTCCCTGGCCTCTAGCTTCCAGAGTGCCCGGAGGAGTTCAGAGGGAAGGGTGGGGGGTGGAGGTGCCCGCTTCCCTCCTGGTGGAGCTGCTTTGGGCCAGTGGCCTCCTCAGTTGCGGGGCACAGTCCCCCCCACCACCACCCCAGGTCAGCCTACTCTGCACTGGCCCCACCTGGCTGTGGGGATTTTTCTCCTCCCTCTACAGGCTGGTAGTCATGCTATTCCCAGGCACCCTTCTGAAGCTGGAAAAACAACTTGAGATTCTTAAATCCTGGTGTTCATGAATTGGCGGAGACCAGCAATAAAGGGACTGGGTCTGTGCCATCCTCCGAGGTTTCCTACACCTGTCCCAAAATGGGCAACAGCTCTTTCCAATCAGCCCTGCTGGGGTCGTCTCACTCAGAAGACGTCACGTCTGAATCATCTGGACTTGAATACTTCAATTTTTTCCCCAATCGGCTAGTAAGACAAAAATCTCAACATCAGGTGAAAGCCCGAGGCACACGTGAACAGAGCGCCCGGCTCCAGGAGCGCATGGTCCCCCACAGCCCCGCCCCCAGCCTGCAGTTAGGGCTGAGCAGCCCAAGCAGAGTCTCTCCATCCGGGGGTTACAGGCAGCCCAGAGTGCCATTTCGAGGTGGAAAATGGTGCCTTTCCTCATTTGCTTCATTAGGCGAAGAAAAATCATTTGATAAAAATTCCTAAGTTTCTGAGTTTGTGACTTGGGCTAGGTACTAATGAGCTGAGCTCTGAAATAAGAATTTCTCCTTTTGAAATTAACTAAAATACATTTATCTTCATTAATTAAATTTAAATCTCTTAAAATTATTTCAAACCAAGCACACAAAAATTAGTTCCTATATTATGAAACACCATCCCCATCAATGGCCTATACTCTTCAGACCTAATCACTTCCAGACTCTGTTTTCTTGTTTACAAAACAGCATCAGACCACTCACTCAGGAGATCTTAACCAGAGGATGGGTGGCAGGGGCATACACGAATCCTCAAGTCGTTTTCGTTTGTGTGTGTGAATTATTCTGGATAAAGAGGACCCTGAAACAAGAATCACCAGACTAGATACAGTCTCTACAGTCCTTCCACCTCACTAGAATGTCCATGGTTCTACAGGCAGTAACAGTTTAGTGCTTGGGTGAATTTAACTCTAAAGGCAAATGTTTTACTAACTACATTCACACACCCAATAAGTGAGCGCGCGTGCGCACACACACACACAGAATTTATGACATATCTTCCACGAAGCTTCGTACTACTAATCAATGGGGCACAGCCTGCTGTGTGTCACTCACATTGCTACCTGCATGGCCATGTGCAAAACTATTTATCTGAAGAGAAAAATAACATAAATGTCTACATGAAATAAATGTCTGAGATAAAATAAATGTCTACCTGCAAAACCTAGCTCTGCGGGTCCCTCAGGTGAGTGACGCTTCTCCGTGGAGACGGCTCACGCAGTAGCGCAGGCCGCAGTCAGCCAGTGAGCTCCACTGAGCTCATTTAAGAGGCTTGCTCTGGACTGGCACAAACTTCACCATGTTGAGAACAGAGTTCTATTTTTGAGCAATGAATCAACGTAAAAAGTAACTAAGCAAATAATATATTGAAAATAAAAGACATTCAGAAAAGAAAACTCTTTCTTAAGCATAAACAGTTCAATGCCTGGAACCTCAAGGTTCAGAGATTTCTCCTGGAACAATCAAGAAACGGGTAAATTGGGAAAAGAGCCAACTCACTTCTAGGAGCTTCAGTTCCTGCACACAGTTGTGCAGCAGCTCCAGGGCGCGCTGGGCCACCTCCCACGGCCTCTGCAGGAAGAGCAGCAAGGTGCACTGGCGAGAGAACAGGTAACTGCGCAGATCTAACAGCGTGGCTTCTCGCCTCTGGATCGATTCCCGCTTCTCCATATCTATGGGCTTTCGGAGGATCAATCCGTTCCAGCTCTTCACTGGCTGGCAGAAAAAAGTCAGCCAGTTGGCACCATCTAAACAAACACACATCATGAAAGGTGCTGATTGCAGGTACTTCACCTTCCTGAGCTTCCTGCTCAGGCTGAGGATGGTGAGCAAACAGGCAGCTTCAGAACCAGTTGTTCTAAGAACACTGCCCACCCCCTGTGGTCTAGTGATGTGCACCATTTGGCTCCCGGCATTGACAGTCGAGATGAGGGTAACGTGACCCAGGCAACAAGGCACGCCACCCTACCATGCCCAGAAAGCCATGGGCGGGAGCTGAACAGGTCGGGAAGCCGCCCAGAGACCAACAGGCTACATGGTTAGGGGAGCGCAGGCTCTGTCTCAGACGGAGGGAGGGCTCTAATCTCGGGCTGCAGCGGGACTGGGCTTCCTTATCTTTACCTGCGGGCTGGAGTGCTGCCTGCTCTGACCATCCTGGTGCTTTTGGTCTTCGTTAGACTACATATTCCTTACTTATTTCCCTAACTCAACCACGTCACCTCCCTGAGTCAAGCTCCTAGAGGAAGAGACAGGGAGGACTTGGTAGCAGCGCACAGAAGAAAAAAGAATGACTGCTTGTCACAAATTTCAGCAAGGCTCCCAGAGGTTTACTTATACCCCTAAGACTCAAATATGATCTTAAAATAAGCGTAACAATGTATAATAACAAGTCCATCAATCATTATTGAAAAAACCTTTGAATCTATTTTTCTCACTCCAACGGAGAGGTGTCGTAACCAGTTCATTCCTACGTGGCATCCTGACATGGTTAAATGCTGCACAACTGTGTGCAGGAACTGAAGCTCCCTTCACTGACGGGAGCTTCTCCTCAGAGCCGAGGAGCACACAGCAGTGTGGCGCGGACCTGCCAGCCCAGCCCTGTACCAGCATCCTCAGAGCTGCTGGAGCACACGGCAGTGTGGTGCTGGCCCGCCCCGGCCCCTGCACCAGCATCCTCAGGGCTATTGGAGCACACAGCAGTGTGATGCGGACCTGCCCCAGCCTCTGCACCAGCATCCTCAGGGCTACTGGAGCACACGGCAGTGTGGTGCGGACCCGCCAGCCCAGCCCTGCACCAGCATCCTCAGGGCTACTGGAGCACACGGCAGTGTGCTGCGGACCCGCCAGCCCAGCCCTGCACCAGCATCCTCAGGGCTATTGGAGCACACGGCAGTGTGGTGCGGACCCGCCAGCCCAGGCTTGCACCAGCATCCTCAGGGCTATTGGAGCACACGGCAGTGTGCTGCGGACCCGCCAGCCCAGCCCTGCACCAGCAGTTCCCTTGGTTAGGCTCCCCTCCCACCAGGACTCTCATGGGGCACGCCCACATTTCAGTCACGCCTCTGGTGCCAGTGCCACCCCCCCCCAGAGAGGCCACTCCAGTGCCCTATCCAAGCTCCAACGGCACATACTGCCCCACCCCTCACGGGAGCCCCTTTCTACAGCCCAAACTTACTACTACGGACGGCAAGTGACAGATTTACTTTTCGGCGCCGGTTTCCCCTTCATGTAAGCACCATAAAAAAAAGGGATTTTGTTTTATTCCTCCCTGTATTTAGAACAGTGCCTGGCACACGGTGGTCCCTCAGTAAGTACTTGTTGAATGAAAGAACAAAAACGAATCGTCTTATTCAGCAGCAAAACTTCGTCCAGGCTTACTTTTGGATTTTAAATTGCCCCAAATTTTAAAACTGAGAGAAAAAATAAATAAATTAGGTGAAATATAAGAAGTATGTCAGATATTTCAGCCTTGAAGGCCTCTCCCCTCCCACAGGCACTGACATCCATTCAGATGCCTAGTCCCTGAAGCTGCCCAGCACCTATTCTGCTGCCAGGGACCATATGGTCTTTATCTTATAAATGACACCTTATTACTCAATGTTGTGTATATGGCATCACAGGCACATGGACCTGTGATTACCAGCCTGCCTGAGGCTAACAAATGCCCTCAGTTAGAATATATAGCTTCAACACAGCTTTTACAAGCTCATACGATACGACCTCAAGGTTGTTAACACGGTCATCTCATGGTAATTTGAAACTGTGATTGGCAGTTTTAGATTTCTTGGTTAAAAACCTAAATAAACAGATTAAGTTCTAGGCATTCTTTCAAAGGAGTTCTCCACGAAAAGACTGAGAACTATTTGGTGCTCAGTGAAAATATTTTAATTTTTTCAACTAATGGATGTACCAGTTATTGCCATTTATTTATTAAATTCAAACATTTTTTGCTAAATAAATCTATTTTTCAAAAAAAAAAACATGTAAGATATTTAAAAAATATAGGCCGGGTGTGGTGGTTCACTCCTGTAATCCCAGCACTTTGGGAGGCCGAGGCAGGCGAATCATGAGATAAGGAGATCGATACCATCCTGACCAACATGGTGAAATCCTGTCTCTACTAAAAATAAAAAAATTAGCTGGGCATGGTGGTGCGTGCCTGTAGTCCCAGCTACTCGGGAGGCTGAGGCAAGAGAATCGCCTGAACCCAGGAGGAGGATGTTGCAGTGAGCCGAGATCACACCACTGCACTCCAGCCTGGCAACAAAGTGAGACTCCGTCTAAAAAAAAAAAAAAAAATTGTGTGTGTGTGTGTGTGGGTAGGTAGGTATGTATGTATGTAGACTGGACATGGTGGCTCACAACTGTAATCCCAGCACTTTGGGAGGCCGAGGCAAGAGGATCACTTGAGGCCAGGAGTTCGAGACTGGCCTGGCCAACACGGTGAAACCCCGTTTCTACTAAAAATATAAAAATTAGCCAGGCATGGTGGCGTGTGCCTGTAATCCCAGCTACTCAGGAGGCTGAGGCACAAAAATCGCTTGAACCCGGGAGGCAGAGGTTGCAGTGGACAAAGATTGCACCACTGCCCTCCACCCTGGGGACAGAGTGAGATACTGTCTCAAAACTAAATAATAGATATATATGTATAATATGGACACCTAAGACCGGGCATGGTGGCTCACACCTGCATAAAATATAAGAAATAGAGTTCTACCTCTTCTGTTTTTTTTTACTGAGTAAACACTTTGCTTTGGTTCTACGTCTACACTGGCATCTCAGGAGACTGAGATCAGACCTGATCTTCACTATGAGCCAGTAGCCATTGGCGCCACTGTTGATTTCCAGAGTGAGGACAGTGCCCACAGCTAGAGCTGACCATCCCCACACTTCACCTCCCTCCAGGTTCTCCAGCTGACACCGGGGCTCCTTGAAATTACCCCTTCCTTCACACATGGTGACAAGGGTTCTCAAAAAGGAACCTGGCAAAGATGCCCACGACAGCTCTGCTTGTGGTGGCAAGAAGCAGGAAAGAACCCAATGTCCAACACCAGGGAGTAGAATCGAGCCAGGAATATACCAACTCTAAAAAAACAACTTCAAACCCCACCTGTTAACCTGGAGACTCCAAACCCCACCTGTTAACCTGGAGAGACGCCCACGACGGGCTGTGAGTAAGAAAAAGGAGCGACAGAGAAACAGCTACGTAACATGGTATCACTTTCATCAAAATAAGCATCAGGGAAAAACACTGAGGACAGTAACCAATGTTTCTCTTTGTGTATGGTTTCACTGTGCTAATTCTTTAATTGTAAAAGAGCTTAAGATATTGCTTAAAAGTGCAAAAGAAAGATGAACACCCAAGGGTGTTACATAAGCTCACAGCAACGAGCACTCGAGCATTCCAAAGACAACTCTTGGATGGAAGGGAAAGGGACGTCCACTCTGACTGTAACGAGGGACAGAATCGAAGCATCACCAGCAGGCCACTGAGTTGTGGAAAGGACATTTTATACTTGGAAAACAGTTTGTTTGTTTTTATTACTTCTGTTACTTAAGATTCTTCTAAAAGTGAAAATGACTAATTCTTAATTCTCATTTCATTTCCTCTAGGAATCATGAGAATATATCTGATACAATGTGTATAAAGACAACAGCAAAACATGCGTACTCATGAGGTAAATAAATGGCTGCTTCAAGACCATCTGCAGGTGGAGAAAGCCACACTAAGAAAGGCATGCGTTACTGAAGTGCCACTACTCACCCCCGGCCCCGAAGTTGACCACATACTGAGAGAAGAGGGCGTCCAGCTCGTCGTACTGCACCAGGGCGTCCTCGAACTGCTGCAGCATCTCGAAAACAAAGGCAAGCTCCTCCTATTCGCCCAAGATACGTTTTTAAAAAACAAAAACATAAATCAACATATTGAAAAAACAGTATGTAGCCATTAAAAATTACAACAGAGAAAGGCATGCAGCACTATGAACAACGCCTACACTCCGCTGAGTAAAAACTAGTGTGAGGACCACACGCGTCAACACTCACACACGCACGAGAAGCTAGAAGAGGCCAAGGTCACTCCTGAACCCTCCCTGACCTATCGGCAGCACCGGATATAACCGGCCACCCCTTGTCCTTGGGATGTTTCCTGCTGTCCAGGACCCAGCCACCTGCTCCCCTCATCCCTCATTCTGGCTCCCTCTGGTCAGACGGCTGGTTCCTCTCGTTTCCCCAGGATCTCCGCTGGAGGCCCCAGGGCTCAGCCCTTGGACTTCCCTGTCTACACTCACTATTCCCTCTCCGAGATTGAGCCTATCTACACAGCAAAACCACACACATTTAGGACTCCAGCTCAGCCCCGACTCTGGCTCCAATGGCAAGCACAGCACACTTGCGTGGACACCTAACAGACAGCTCAGGCTTACACATGGAAACCTGAACCCCATACCTTTCCCACAAAGTGCTCCACCTACCGTCTTCCCCATTTCAGTCAGCGACTGCTCATCACATTCAAGAGACTCCTAAGTCCTTCCAAGGCATCTCCAGGCCCTGCAAAATCTATGTCCCCCAGCACCACCCCTTTGGCCTCAGCTCCACCACCAAGGCCTCCTCACTGCTGCTCAAGTGTGCATGGCAGGGAGCTGCCTCGGAGCCTGTGCACTGCCCCATTCCGTGGCCTGGAACACTTTCTCTTCCTCTAAACATCCACATGGCTTGCTCTCCAACCTCCTTCAGCTCTGGCTAAGTCCCCAGCCCAGTGAGGCCTTTCCTCCTCCTGCCCCTGCGCAGCGCACCACACCATCTCTGCCTCGTGTCTCTCTCTCGCCCTAGCATCTGCGTCATTTCCTTTCCTGTGTCTCCTCCACTGTCACACAAGCTCACAAGAACCGTATAGTGACGGCGTCCCAGCATCAAGGAGGGCCTGGCCCTGTTCGTGCTCAGTAACCTTTATCGAATGAGAAAATGAAAAGAGACGGTGACAGGTGATTGCTTTCCGATCTCCATTACTGTACATTAAAAAGTAAAGACCAGAAGAATGTGCACGCACATAAACCTCCCCACATGGTCAGGTCTTGGGAATCCAGTTCCACCCCATGTATTTGTGGACATTATTCCCAGACCCCAAAGGGCCCACCCAGGTCCCACTCACTAGGTGAGAACTGAGGGTGCTCCTTTGTATCCTGTTTCCCCTGAGAACAGTGGTGGGCTGTGTTTTGCAAGAGAAACTGCGAAGTTACACTGAACTTCATTTTCTTTGTCAAGTATTTTCAAGACTGAGCACTCTAATGTTTTTCTTTTAAATTGTGATTAAAATGTATGTAATATAAAACTGACCATCTTAACCATTTTTAAGAGTACAGCTCAGGCCAGGCGCAGTGGCTCACACTTGTAATTCCAGCAGTTTGGGAGGCCGAGGCAGGCGGATCACTTGAGGCCAGGAGTTTGAGACCAGCCTGGGCAATATGGCAAAACGCCATCTCTACTAAAAATACAAAAATTTGCTGGACATGGTGGCGCCGACCTGGAATTCTAGCTACTCAGGAGGCTGAGGCAGGAGAATCGCTTAAACCTGGGAGGTGGAGGTTGCAGTGAGCTGAGATCGCGCTATTACACGCCAGCCCTTGGTGACAGAGCAAGACTCCGTCATAAAAAAAAAGAGAGAGAGAGAGAGACGAGTACAGCTCAGTAGTGTTAAATGCACTCACACCGTTGTGCAATCAATATCCCAAACTTTCTCATCTTCCCAAACGGAACCTCTGTCCTATTAAACACTCACTCCCATTCTCCCTCCGCCAGCCCCCGGCACCCCCCATTCCACCTTGTCTCTGAACCTGAGCACTCGAGGACCTCACAGAAGCAGACACAGTCTGTCCCTATGTGACTTTGTGTGTTATTTCACTCAGCATCATGTCCTCTAGGTCCATCCACGTTGCAGTGTATGTCAGAATTTCCTTCCTTACTCATTTTAAATTCTGAACTTAGACTTACAGAAATATTGAGGGGGAAAAAAAAAAAAGGATCTAGTTTCCATATAGCCCTCACTCAGCTTCCTGAACACTGCCGTCTTACATGACCGTGGTACAACTGTCACAACCAGAAAATTAACCTAAGTATAATACTATTAACTAAATAGCCCTCATTGGAATTTCAGTGGTTTTTCCACTGATGCAGTTGTTTCTGCTCCAAGACCCCACCCTTGACCCCCAACTAGGCCGGAGTTGCTGCTTCCTTCAGCTCCTGCAGTCTGTCAGTTTCTCAGTCTGTCTTTCACTGCCGTGGCACCCTTGAAGAGTGCTACGTTGTCTAATGTCCCTCTACTTGGGTTCATTTGATATGTTTCATGACTGCCGTGAGATGATCATTTTTTACAGGGAAAAGATGCCAAGTATTCCTCAGCACATCTTACCAAGGATTTCATGAGATGGACACAACTTCTCACGGGCGGAAGCAGCCCTATCATTTCCTTCAGGCGGTATGTACCTGGTTCCCCCACTGTGGAGTGGCTACTGCTCCCTCGGTAGCTGACAGACATCTTGGGGGGCCACCGTGAGACTGTGCAAGCCCACCTCTTCTCAGGCCTTTGCCCACCACCCTGGACATCCATCGTTAATCCTGCCTCCAACAGTTCTTGCTGGGACATTGGCTTAGAAGTGATTTTCTGCTTTTCTTTCCTTCTGCGTTTAAGCAGAATTCTTCTGTGTGGAAGAGCTGACCCTTCTCCGCCATTTATTTATTTAACCGATGATTTCTGTCTATCGATACAGACTCAAGGATATTAATTTTATTCCATGGGTTAAACCCTGACTCTATCCTTATTTATTCTGTTGCTGAAACTGCTCCAGCTTTGACCCCCGGATGCTCCTCGGGGCAGTGCGTGTCCTATACATGCCCCATCTGCTTCCACGCACTTCCTGACTTTCTAGTCCTAAAGATATTCCAGGTTTTTTGTTTTTAAAAACTCTGCCAATGAGATTACCACGAGAGGTGCCTTACTTAGAAAGAAAGGAGGAAAGAGGGAGGGCACAAGGGAGGGAGGGAGGGAAGGGAACTGTCTAGTTCTGTAATGAGTCAAGTACCTGAACCATGAAATATTCACAAAAGCTCCAGCCTGGCTCAGTCCTCTTCTCCCTCAAGGTTCTCATGTCATCCTCAAACTTGCCTAGGTTTTTGGTAAAAGACATAAGAAGCAATGTCCTGAGTTTGGTCAGGAAGGCATTCCAGGATTCCTGAGTTCGAGAAGAGTCCTTCAAGGGGTCGGAGAGCACAACACACCTGCAAAGACATGAACAGACTATCTGGGAAAGACCCTCCATGCACAGCGCCACGGCTCAGCAGCTGCCATTGTCCTGGGCGGCAATTTCGTTCCGTCCTCCTCCCTCTTTTTTTTTTTTTTTTTTGGAGACAGAGTTCTGCTCTGTGGCCCAGGCTGGAGTGCAGTGGCACAATCTTGGCTCACTGCAACGTCCACCTCCCGGACTCCAGTGATCCTCCCCAGTAGCTGGGATCACAGGCACACACCACCATGCCTGGCTAATTTTTATATTTTTTTGTAAAGATGAGGTCTTGCTATGTTGCCCAGGTTGGTCTCGAACTCCTGGGCTTAAACAATCCTCCTGCCTCGGCCTCTCAAAGTGCTGGGATTATAGGCATGAGCCACTGCATCTGGCTTCTTCCTTCTTTAAACAGTCAAAAACATGAGGCAGGCAGTAAGAAACCAGGTTAGGAAAAGGCTTCATCATAAACTGGTCATGAACATGAGCAGTAAGTTCTACAGAAATTCAAAGGAGAGTTTGCTATAGAATCAACTGGAAAGGGGGAAAGGGATTTACATGAGTCCTGAGCCAAAGACCCAGCTCTGAGTTCTCTGTAAAATAATGTGATCACGCCTCACTCAGTTCCCTGCCTCCTTCAAAATCCATTTTGGTTCCTTGGGATCGACAGGATAAATTTAGATTTCTCAGCACGGCACACGAGCACCATGATGTCTCACTTTACTTCCTCTGCTTCCCAGCTCAAGCCTGCTGACCTTCTCCCGCTCTCCTCTCTTCATGAGCACGTTCCTTCCACCCAGGCGTGGCATCTTCACGACCTCCCCCCATCGCCATCCCAACTGCTCTGCCCACACTGCTGCTAGGCTGCGGGCCTCACAGGAAAACACTCCCCTTCTCTGTACCTCTATCCCTCCCACTAGCCTGTGAGCTCTTCAAGGGGAGAGTTAATAAACCATTTAACAAATAAAGGCTTAGAACATGGCTTAACACATAGGCCAGAAGAGTTTAATTACAAAGAGCCTGAACCCATGATGTAAAAAGGTCAAACACACAAAATTATACAAAGTTCCCAACAGATTTGGACAAGGCAATGTATTTGATAGGCTGGAAATGGTAAATTTCTTTAGCCTTGGTAATAGTAATTAATCTAGGAAGATAATGTATAAATTTGAACTCAGAAATAATTTTTAAACATCGATTCTGTGAGCTTCACCAGTTCTCCTTAGTAAATGTTTTACTTGAATTACCGAAAAGTAGCAAAATGAACTGACTCTAAGTTCCTTTTCTCCGTGCCCCAGCATATCCTTTGGAGGTATGGCTAAATTCATGGAATTATACCTCAGTGAAGCAGCACACACTCTACATGTTCCACCATGTGAACAACCAGAACCAAGAAGAAAACTTAAAACTTGGTGGCTGGCTACAAATTCATTGAACCCACCCCCCTGCACACTTTCCTCCCTCAAAGACAAAGGGGCCAGAGCCGCTCCCTCCAAAGGTCCCCCAGAGGACTAACATGTATTTATCCACAGTAGGAGCTTGCTGGAACCTATGAGCTTGGTAGTTTATCCTTCAGGCATTCTCAAGGATTATAATTACCCATATTTATTTCCGACCCGACGCGAATTCTCCTGTACACCTACAGGGGTGAATGGAAACAGAAACTAAACAAGTGCCAACCACCAAAACAGTAACCGTTTCCAGAGATCAATCAGATACACAGTCATGATATGTCCCGTCTCTAGTAGATCCTGTTCTACATCACCATCCATTTTTTTTAAGTAAAAAAGAACTATGCTTCAGAATTTCACATCAAGCCTAAGTCGTTAACTCAGAAAAGGAGAGCCCAAAACAAACGAATGAAGTCAGGGATGGTGGGGCCAAGTTGGAGAGTGGCGCGATCCCCCAAGGCACGCAGACTGCAGGGGCTGGAGGCACATGTGGAAGAAGGGGCTCCCGGCTGCAGCCTCAGCAAGTCACCACGACGGCTATGGCCATCACAAGTCACACTGCTGATCACAAGTCAACCCTTGTCTCTACCAGCCTCGTACTTAGCAAAAGCCCGAAAAATGCGTAAAATCTGTTACCAAGCAATTTTCCTTCAGGAAGGTATTCTGAAATAATTAAGGATGTTCACAACATTTGAGCTAGAAAAGTGTTCACAATATTGCTGTTTATAACAATAAGCAAGCAATAACCTAAGCCCAGCAGCAGAATGTGTAAATAACTTATGGCACGTTAATACTATGGAATATTATCCACTCACTAACACCGAGAGTCTGGAAATACATTTATTGTTTGTGGAAAATCTTTACCATATATTGAGTGAAAAAAGCAAGTATAAACAACACACAACGTTATATTAACTTAAAATACACACACGTATTATGCATGCATAAAGAAAAAAAGTCTGAGAAGATACATACCAAAATGCTAAGAGTTAATATGCATTTTCTTTTTGCTCATTACCTTTTTCTAATAATTCTACAATGAGTATGTAGTGTGCATAATCAAAATTAAACACCAGTCTAATGTTAAAAAAACAGTAAGCCACTTAAGGGTCAAGTGTTACAATATTTTCAAAGGCCAGAAATTATACTGGGTAATAAAACAATTGTCAAAAAAAAAAGTAAAAAAACAAAACAATTGTCAATACAGACTCTGTTAAATTCAAATTTATGAAAATCTCACCAAAGTCTTTACATTTAAAAAACATAGATCTGTTAAGAAGTGGCTTTGCAAATTAATAAAAACCAAATGGTAGAAGGTATATTTAAACCTACTGAAGACAAAATGTTGAAAATTTTAGTAAATTACATTTAATGTATAAAAAACAGTCATTAAAAAGCAAGTTAGTTTTAAATAGGCTCAGTAAAAACATATTATTGGAAATTAGATAAAGATTATAAACGCAGACTTAAAAGTAATCAATAGGTACTTTGAGAAAATTATACAATTTGAACATTTCACAAGGTAAGACTAATAGACCTCATTAACACTAATGTGTTTACTTAATATAATCCCAAATAAATATGATTTCTTTTGTGATATTAAGAAAAACCTCCAAGGCCACTTGGTTTTGATTCGCAGACTTAAAAGTAATCAATAGGTACTTTGAGAAAATTATACAATTTGAACATTTCACAAGGTAAGACTAATAGACCTCATTAACACTAATGTGTTTACTTAATATAATCCCAAATAAATATGATTTCTTTTGTGATATTAAGAAAAACCTCCAAGGCCACTTGGTTTTGATTCCTAGCGCTGCCTCAGTGGTCTCCCCGTCAGCGTGGCCCACACTCGCGTTAGGCTACAGAACACACTGCTCCTCCTGCCAGGCTTCATGGCTGTCTACTCTCTTTCTCAGAACAAAAAATGTCAGTACTTGAACCACATAGAGGGCACGGACATTCAATCGCGTAGCATCTTCCTAAATGCTAAGCTGATTCCTTTTGATTAACTAATTTATAAGTAACACACGTTACAAAGAAGTTTCCGTAAGCCCAAATTGAATGAAACTTCTCTAAGATAAACCATAAGCTCAACTACCTAATTATTTAATTCAAACCATTAAAAAAGCAAGTCTGAACATTACTGTGTATCCAGTATTGTGTGGAACATGAAAAAGGCACCCACCCTAGTTCCTCCCGCTGAAGAACTACCACGGAGGCCTGGAGAGTCACATGACAGAATAGTGCGGGGCCCCGTCTGTTTGGGGCTACAGGCTGCACTCGCACCACCTGCCCCTGCTCCTCCTCCCTCACCCCCCACACCGCGCACCCTTTATTTCTCAGCCTATACCCCTGCATATCCTTTATTTCTCAGCCCATACCCCCGCGCATCCTTTATTTCTCAGCCCATACCCCCCGCGCACCCTTTATTTCTCAGCCCATACCACTGCATATCCCCCCACACCGTGCATCCTTTATTTCTCAGCCCATACCCCCCGCGCATCCTTTATTTCTCAGCCCATCTCTGCTTTCTCAGTGAGCCTCTGTTGGCCCCAGAGAAGGCCAGGTGCCCGGCTGTAGGCTCTCGCAGTAGTCTGGAGTCCTCCATCTGAACCCTTGCCACCATAAGCATGGTGACCATGGCTATAACGACCTGCTGGACCAGGGCAGGGTCCAGGTTCGCTGCTGAATGCCCAGGCCCTGGTGAGTTCTAGTGTAAACTATGAGATAAAGACCATCAATTACAGAGGAGTTAACATGCTGACTGGCTCAGCTGGCAACGGCATCACTGAAGAGAAAGGCAGCGACCCACCCCAGGAGAGAGCAGGGCAAGGCGGAGAAGGCCCATGAAATCTATTAACCGCCAAAGTTCCAGGATTCCCTTTCACAGTTTCTGAAGGGGTTAGGTCAGCATTTTACAACTTAGGAACGTGCTTAGGAACTTCTCAGAAGGTGTTAAGGTAAAGAAAGAAACACAGGGCCGGGCGCGGTGGCTCATGTCTGTAATCCCAGCACTTTGGGAGGCCGAGACGGGCGGATCACGAGGTCAGGAGACCGAGACCATCCTGGCGAACA